TGAAATGTAATGGACGGGCAGTTCTAGTTATGTTTTAGGTTTTTTTACTGGATACTGCTATTAAGCCTCCCTAATATGAACAGCAACCACAGTAGCAGCAAACCATAAAGGAGCCTCCTCAACAGTGCCCTGCAATACCCATTTGGATGTGCATAATGCAATCCTGCTTCTCTATCAGTGGTGTGGAGGTGCCGTGAAAACCAACTGAGCTATAACTTGCACAGAGCAGAGCTGTGGTGAATTATGAAAGTAATTCCCTGGCAAGTGTAATTATTTCTCTCCTCATACACTTCACTCATCATGGGGTCTGGGGAAATTTCAGCGGAACGTAACAGACACACTCTTGGCCTCAGCCACCAGAATGGTAGAACACATCCGCTGGAAAACGGAGATTCTTGTTTACACCCATTAATAACATCTTCTGCATTAATGAATTGCATCCATGCTGTCATCCATTAAGAAGGTACTTTGAGGTCTCTCTCTGCACAGAACACTAGCTTCTCCAGATGACTCTATAGTTATACAGCCCATAAATAAAACAAGTATTTTCCCTTCATCTTTGAGGTCTGCAATTAAATCTACTAAATGGACTGCAGATGCCTGGCTTACAGTAAGTGTTTCATCTTGGAAGATCATGGAACTGTCGAAGTCACCACAATGAAGTAGCATAGTTGTCAAATCAGGGCAATTTCAGAGAGTAATGAACATCAGAAATTTCATCTCTGTGTGTCAGTCTTTTCCTGAGTATGGCCATTGGTGAAGCACTAAACCCCTGAAGTAGGAAACACTGTATACCCCAGAAATTATGACCTTGTGCTAATTTTTCAAATGAGGAATTGTATTTCCTGACAGAATAGTACATAGGGAGATGATACAGTAGTTAAGAGATGCTTTCTACTGAGTACAGCCTCCAGTGTGCTAAACTTCAGAGAGACAGAAGGCAGGAAAAGGTCTGTTGTATTACTGAACAGAGAATATTTGATAGAAACTGAGAAAAACTGTGCAGTGATAATATACTCTTCTCTGGAAAAGTCTATATTCTGAATAACAGTTTTATTTGCATAGTATAGCCAGCCCATTTTATTAACAGAACATCCTGTGGTGCCAATATCCTCTCTTTGATGGAAAAAAAAAATCTCAGTTTCAGACACAGCAGAGTTCATGGGGCATAGCGCCTAGGGAAAATAGCTTTCTTCTCATTCATCAGAGCAGACCTGCTCTCATGCTCCAACAATATCCCCATATCCTAGAAGTGGCACATGTGGGGTCCAGAGCCACATGAGGCAAGCCTAATGAGCACTTCACAGTCTCCAAAAGCAAAGTTGCAGGCTTAGTGCCTGCCCCAGGGACTAAGGACATACTAGGCTATCTTGAGATTTCCTGTCTCTTGTAGACCAACTTCACCCTCAAGTATTACATCTTTATACTACAAATTAGATCCCAGAACCCTGTGGTCTAAGCACAAAAATGTAGCTTTGGAAACCTGGGTCTGGAGCCAAGCAAAGTCAGAGAAAGAGAGGTATTAGCTTTTTTACTAAAGATGGAGAACTCCCAGATGACAGAATGAAAACGGTCCCTGAGAGCATAAGATAATTATTAATTACTTACATCACCATCATCACTTGTTATTCACTGAATTGATTTTAATTGTCTCCTTCTAAAGCTTCAGTCCAATATTATTCACTAACACCAGCGAAGTGTTGGCTCATAAGTCCAACAAAGCACATCTTGTCTCCTCAAAAGGGTGAGAAAACAACCTACACTGCCCAGCAGAACCTGATGTGCTGAGAGTGCTCATTTTTTTGCAGGCAGCTCTTATGGCTGCACTGAAGAATGTGATTCTCTTTATTGGCCAGGATCATTCTCCCAATGGTGGGAATACATATCTATTTACAAGATCCACACAGAGGAGCTGCATTTGGTTTGACACTTGCATAGAAGAAAGCAGGGTCATGAATCATTTTGTAGTGAAATAATGCTTTGATTCTGGAGCAACTATTTTGCTTTCAAAAGCACAGAGAATTCCTGGTAGTTTCAAAGCATGGCTGACACAAGATAAATACTGGGAAGACCTCTCAGTCATTTCACTCTTCAATAAAACTTGCAAAATTTTGGAAAACTTTTCTACTTTCTGGATTTTCCCTTATCCAAGCAATCCTAAAAACAAGCAGCTCATAACTTTATGCCCTGTGCTGAGTTTTATGGGATTTGTGTGACATAAAATCCTGTGCCTACAGACTGACTATGGCAGGGTTCTGGCATAATTTCTGCAGCAAAATGCAAGTAGATTTTCAAGGGAGAAGCTTGGGTCCCTTAATTAAGATGTATAAGGGCATACACTATTACTCACATGCACATAGCTCCTGTCTCAAACAGAAAGGAAAAGGGAGAGTCAAACAAACTGAACTGAGCATATGACAGACAGCCACATTAAGGTTCTGCGAACACTTGTCTATCCTTGTCCTTTCCTTCCTTCCCACAACCATTATCTTTTCCTCCAGACTGACACATGAGCTTGTTTGTGCTCTCAAATACACTGGTTTAAATGAACCATCATTCACCTGGAGTTTCCATACCAAAGAAAAACAAACTGTGCATTAGACCTGTGATACCTTTGGGCCACTCAGAAGCTCTAGAGATTGTCCTGGTCACCAATTAACAGGACCAAAGCTCAGTGACTGCTGTGCACAGCCCTACCCCAGCCCCAGTGAAGTACACTTGGAGAAATGGGGAAAGAGGAACTTGTGGAGATGAGCCAAGGAAGGAGGACACAATACTCCATATATCAATACCACAAGAAAGATATTACAATTATTCTCTGCTTGTATACATCAGATTTGGTCCCTCATGTAGCAATAAGTTCTTCCCTTTTAACCCCAAAGCCAGAATTTGACATTACTAAGACCTAGCAGCAGAGCTGGCAGCAGAAGGAAAAGCTCTCCCCTCAAAGCAGCAGCTCAGACTACAGCTCCTTGCAAGGACAGCAATGCACTGACAGGCACAGGCAGCTCCTGGTAGGTGGAAAGGCAGATGCCCAAATCTGTAACTGGATTTCATAAAATCAAAATATAATACTTTATCCCAGTCCCCTTGCATGTACCTGGAGATTTCTAGTGCCAGGCAGGAAATATAAAACAGATATTTCAGGAATGAACTGCATGCATAACTGACAACATTCACCAAGGCAATATGCAGGTATTTGATAGCTGAACATTCCTACACAAATTGTATAAAGAAAAAGTCTCTATTTACATTTGGGACCAGTTTTTCAGGGACACTGTCTGTTAGTCTGGGAAACTGACTATTTAATATCTACAAATGATTCAGGAATAGAACTTTTTCTGCCCCTAGGTTGTAAAACTTCAATCAAGTAAAAAAAGAGCTAATTAATTTTAAAAGAGCTAATTTCTCAATTTATTGGCTAAGCTGTAAAATCAAAGAAAATAGTATCAGGAAGTTTTCCAAATAAATAACAAACAAACAAACAAAAACAAGGAAACCCAACTACAAACAAAACCCAACCAACTAAAAATACCAGCCCCTCATGACAATTTTTAATTGATGCTTTTGGTTTGGAAAATGCTTGAACATAAATTTTAAGGACAAAACCCCACTTACTTCCACTTACATTATTCACTGAATACAACCCTTTTCCCACACTTTTCAACCTGTCTAGGACTACATTCATCAATTAACATTTTTTTTGCCTGAAAGATTTCAGCTGTATTTACTCCAGAGAGGCTGTTCCTGCCTAATAGAAAAAGTCAAAATTCGCAACCCCAAGACTTCACAAGGCAGAGATCAAGAGGACTCAGGCACTCCAAACAGCTGCTGCCCACTTACAGGTGACAATAAGCCTTTTAGATTTCAGGTCACACCTGTGTGTCCTTTCTTGATTCAAAATTCCAGGTCCCACACCTACCAAAAGAGCAGTAACTATGTGATGTGTCTGGCTTCAGCTTTTTTCAAAAGGAGGAGGGAAGGGGATGCATGGGGCAGGACACTGAATTTAACACACAACTCAGGAATTCCAAACATTTGCTTCAAGAATATACCTTGGCAGTGCTGATTTAACTGGAAATACAAGGAGCATGAGGCATGCCAGAATATATATATATATAGTGAGATGTATTAGAGGACATTTTTCTTTATAGTGGGGGATATTTAACTGGGAAACTTTCCTCACAAGTTATTGCAGCACATCGGGGCACAGAGCAAATGTATGTGCCTCTTTGTGCTTGGCATTGCTATGAGTCTTTTCATCCTATAAATCTATAAATTGAATTCATCCTGCTTACACCCTTAGTCTTATAAATTGTTAGACTAAGAACAGCTAATGGATGAGTAGATGATTTATTTTTAAAAGATGCATACTGCTGCTTTTTGGAAACTGAAAGTATATAGACACGGGATGTAAAGTATATAGACAAGGGATGTACCCTTCCCGAAGCCTGGATCCCAGGTCGTGAGGAATTACTTTGTATCCTCCCCTGTCCCCAGGAACATGCTTTATTCAAGTTCTCAAAGGGGACCTACTGTCCAAGAAGAGAAGGATCTGGATTGTGCAGAGATGCACTGCAAAGGAAACCACATGCAAAGAGCGGATGAGGCATCAGTAATGGTGCCAGGTACTACATAATGCAAAAGGATGTATATAACTAATTTATTAGAATAAATTTAACTCTTTAAAAAAAGCATCTAAAACAAAAACTCTCAAGGAGCAAACTCTACCTGTCTTAGTCCTTCAGAGAAACCCTGACCTCACAAAAAGTAGCTGTCAGAGTAAAATGAAGGAGTTTTGCCACAAATGATGCTACATGATACAACAGGAGACTCGCTTTGGCACTTGAAGCATCAGACAGTGCAAATACTGCCAATCAAACAGAAAGAGGGATCTGCCATTTCCCAAAGGTTTCCTGACAGAGGGCAGTGGGACCATGTCACTTAGCTTGAAAGGGCTGCTCTTTGAGCTTACCCCTAAGTTAAATAAAGTAATTTACCTTTTAGAGAGGCGACATGGGACAAAGCTTGTGCATAGGTGGCTGTGTTGAGAAGAGTCCCCGGCAGGCAGGAAGGGAAGAAGGGTCCTGTAGGGCCCACTGCTCGACTCAGGCTGACAGAGAAAAGAAAACAACTTCCTTACAAAACCAGAACCAGCAGATTCCATTTGTGCATGCACACAAACACATTGGTGTCTCAGCATCACATTAGATGTGACCCTGGCGGGACAACATCAATCTCCCAAAGCCAACAGCTCCTCAGCATCTCCACAGGGAACAGTGGATTGCACAAGAAACGCCTAATTTTCTAAAGATGATACCTGTAGGTCAAGGCATAGCAGCAAATCTGTAGGCACATACACACATATGAGGCATTCTTGCCCCACAGACAGGTAGGCAGCTGATATCATGCATTACTCTTACCTCTGCTGGATCTCCAGACCCTCCTTTTTATTCCTGGTTTGATCTGTCGGAGAAGGGGAATTTAAGTTCCTTGCAGGAGGTGCCACCTCAGCCATGGTTTCCTTAGAGCCCTCTTGGTCCGAAGCACCCCTCTCTGTTTTTCTCCATTTAGCCCTTCGATTTTGGAACCACACCTGGAGCAGAAGAGCAATCCTAGGTGAAAACCAAGTTTAGCCAAATGTGAAGCAATGAGATTGTAAATTGTTACTCTAGTGAGATCTGGTATTTAGTATCCTGGCTAAATCTTCCTCTTATTTTGTATCCCCATTGCTGTTCTAGTTGAGTTTTAGAATTACATTTGCATCTGTAATATTTCTGCATCTGGAAAACAAGCCAGAAATGTCTAAAGGCATTCAAAAGGCATGTCACAACAAAAATTTTAAAAGCAATAGTTTTGATACTACTTTGACAGTTAGCAAAGCATTTAATCACAAGCCTTCACAGACACATTTAATTCTCACTGATTTCTACGCTTTAACATATCTAAAAGCCTTTTTATAGGGATGGTCTTAAATACACATCTAAGCATTCTGATGAAAGCATATGTGTAAGTCTTTACATCAGCTGCTGCTAGAATCAGAGAAGTCAGAAATGAAAAGGTGTGTATCTGGACATCTTACCCAGACCATTTTCTGACTGGCTGCTCTTCCTCTCATGTCCAGTCTGCTTTCAGAGGACACAAAAGCTGATAGGTACTAATTTTGGAACATCATTCTGCAGTTCAATAATGTGGTCGTGCAGCTGCCTCCACCTCAGGCCACACTATGACCTCAGAATAGAATACCAATTTCCTAACCTTATTTTTTTCCCTATATGCAAAACAAATATTCATATTCTTAATTTTATCACCTGACTATTAGTCTGAAAACTTTTTTTTTTCTATTAACCTTGGAGCCGATATGCTGAAAGCACCACGTTTGAGGTGGAAAATGCCAAGCATCTTTTGAGGTCAGGAAATCCACATTTTAATACACGAATTCAAGTATAGGCGAGATTGTTATTATTATTCTTCTCCTTCTCCAATTCCATTTTAGTTAGGTGCCTTTTAATTGCATGTATCAGCAAACATTGAATAATGATTTTATCTATATTCTAAATTTAGAGCAGTTAAATGCAAAGCAAAATGCAGACACTTTCTTGTGTCTTAATTGAATGAAGGTCACAGCTATAACAATATTTAATTGAGCTATTTTTCATTATCATATTTTAATGACTTTGCACTGACAGTTCGCCTGCTTCTGAGGAAAGAGCATGATGAAGTCGTTTATTTCCCTATTTAGTTATTGTTTGACAACATCATCTTCGATTAAGACTCTGCTTTATAGCACATTAATCATATTTGAATGAGCAAGGGGTATAAATGTAAACATATCTCCCATCCTCTGTGTTTCCCCATGTCCCTGCATGAAAGCAGGCTAAACAAATGCTTGCATCTATTGTCTGTTTGCATAATAGCCAACAACAAGGCTAAACACCAGTCCTCAGCAATCTAATTGTCACCACCCCTATCTCACCCTTGCACCTTTCAGGAAGAAGTTATGATCTTCCACTTCTGAATGCTCGATAATTGTCCCATTTATCTCAATTTGCAGTTCAGTCTTTAGGCACCAATAGCCAAAATGGCATTTTTTATTATTTTTTTTAAGCCAGTACCTACAATGCAGTGGTAAAAGGAGATTTTCATTTCCAAATAATAATCAGTTTAATTTGTCCGCATATGACCAATGATTCATGTTCAGATTTAATAATCAGGATCACATAATCTGATTATAGGAGAAATAATTTGTTTACAATCCCCAATTTACTGTGGTGAATTCCATTATCTCTCTTCAGCCATTGGGTTTTAAGAGATACTAACATGACCCTAGGGAACAAAAGGCAAGCTATTATATTTCCTACAATTAGATCTTTGCATAGTCTTAACCCCAAGCACCTAAATAAAAAAAAAAAAAAATAGAAGAACAGTGTGCAGAAAAGCCCCATAAATAAAAATGAATGCATAATTGTGTTCAAAAAATGGTTTGCAACTCTGTAGTGGATGCCTGAAGAGTTACAGGCATCCATCTCTGACAACTGCAGGGCTGCTTCTCTTAGCAAAGCATGCACGCATACGTATGGACTGGAAATGGAAAAACAAACACATGAAAAGAAGAATTTAAAAAACCAAGGGAAAAGGTGAGGAGAAGGAAAAAAGGCAGGGCTGGAAAAGTGTAGCTGTGGAAAGAATAATCATGGCCAATGGTATTTATTGGACCATATTAAAGGTGTGAGAATTGCTCTGCAGGCTCTTTAGCTGCCTAAATTAAGTGTTTAGAAAGAAGGCGAAAGGGAGAAAAGTTGAAGAGGTGCAGAAGCTTTGCTCCTGGCAGCTGGGCTCCCTGCAGTTGTCTAACCCCACTGCTCGACAGTGGTCATACTTGCTTTGGAGAATCACGTCTCAGCTCTTTTCTCTGCACCACGCCCCCCCTCCAAAAGCAAGGAAATGGATGTGCATTGATGTAATTTAGTACCTTGGAGACGCGGACAAATTAGTGTAGAACATTATCACTAGTTAATTATGAATGACCGATTAATCAACCTAATCTAATATTCCACATTATGTTGATGTTATTAAAGTGCATCATGAAAATGACAGATCGTCTTCATTTGCGTTCTTTGGCCAAATGTGCACTCTGCAGTCATGATGTCAAATAAAAAAAAAAAATCAAAAAAAGTTTGCCAGTTTGAATATCCGAGTTAAGTAATTCCTCAGGATGTTTACCTGCACCCTGGCCTCCGTGAGGTTGATTTTCAGAGCCAGCTCTTCACGAGTGAACACATCCGGGTAGTGGGTTTGAGCAAAAACAGCTTCCAGGGCCTCGAGCTGAGGGAGGGAAGGAGAGCAGAGATCCGTGAGGGATCCATGAGGGATCCGTGAGGGATCCGGCCGTCCCATGGAGGTGTCTGCCAGGCATGGATGAGGAAAACAGGGGCACCGAGGCAGCGGGGCAGGCAGGATGGGGCTGGCATGGCATGGGGCATGCGGGAAGGAGGCAGGGAGCAGGCAGGGTGCAGACAGGAAATAGGCAGGGAATAGGCAGGGAGCGGGCTGGGAGCAGGCAGGGTGCAGGCAAGCAGGGGGCAGAGGGTGCAGAGTCCAGGGGCAGAGAGAATCGGGCTCCTACCTGCTGCAAGGTGAAGGTGGTGCGGTTGCGGCGCTGCTTCCTCCGCAGGAACCCGTCGTCGAAGTCGCCGGCGGAGTGACCTCCGAAGGGGGCAGCGCCTGGGGGGCACGGAGAGCCGCGTTAGGGCCGCAGTGCCCGGGGGGACAGGGCCGGGGCACGGACCCGTCGGGAGGGCAGTGCTGCCCCATCTCCGAGGGCCGGGGCACGGACCCGTCGGGAGGGCAGTGCTGCCCCATCTCCGCTGTGCCCTGGGGGCTCCAGCAGCACCGCGCGGTTCTGCCGCCCGGAGCTCACCCCGGCCCCGGAAACAACATTTTTCAGGCCACCTGTGCTTTAAAGGGAAGGAGAGAAGAAGATTTGACCTAGGCGTGTGGCCGGCAGCTCTCAAAGGCCCTGCCCGTCTGCCGAAGGAGCCCTGCCCGGACAGGAGGCAGCGGGGCCGCCGGCAGGTTCCTCTCCATGCACCCCAAACCGGCCCCGTCTGCTCACCCGGGCTTCTGGAGGAGAACAGGGAGCTCGGTACAGCCCAGCACCGGCGGCTCGGCCAGGCTGAAGCGCCGGCAGTCGGTAGCGGGGCTGGAGGAGGCCTCCCTGCCCTTCCTCGACCGGCGTTCGAGGGCCCCACTGGGGCACCGGGGGTTTGTCCCCGGCGGAGGTCGGGAGAGGGCAGATGGGTGCCCACCAGGATGCCACGTTCCACGGAGCACACCCTGGCCTTCGTGGCTGCCCCAGTCATACATCAATCCATGCGTGCCCGTGTTTGAAATGTGTCACTCCCTTTCTGTTCTTTGACAAAACAGGCTACAAAACCACAAACAAAACAAAACAGACCAAAAAACCACTCAAAACTTAAATCAAAGGGGGGAAAAAACCAACAAACCAAAACCAACAAAACCCAACCCCAAGCCAAAAAAAAGAAAACAAAGAATCCCCAAACCAAAACCGACAAATGAACAAAACCAAACCAAAATAAACCCTCACGGAACGGAAACGTACCCGAGCCCCCAGAAGCGCTGCTGAGTGTCCCCATGACCCCGCTCGCAGACCTGCCCCTGGAGTGCTCTGGGGTACGTGGACTAGAGGTCGCCGCTCATCTTGCAGCATTATTTGGAAGATAGACACGGTCCCGAGCCCTCTCCTCGCACATGTGGGCCTGGGAGAGGCTCATCATGGAATAAAACACTGTCCCGGTACCCGCAGAACTCAGTCTCTTCCCCGAGGCACTGGACCTCCCCGGCTGCCCAAACACTGGCCCAACAGAGCGGTTCTGTTTCTGCTTCTTTGGTTTGGTGATGGGTGGGTGGGGGGGGGTTGGACGGAAGGGTACTTTTTCATTTTATTTTTTTACTTGTGATGCCCAACGCTTTTTTCACCCTTTGGCAGGACAGATCGCCCCTTCCCCCTGCCCCGGTGCTGCCCAAGCCGGGAGAGCGAGGGCCGGCCCCGGACACGGCCGGGAGAGGCTCAGCCTGCGGGGCCGCTCCCCGTCTCGGGTCGCCAAACACAGGCACTGGCCCCACGCTGCCACCGGAGAAACAAACGCACCGCAAACAAACAAACATACAAACAAAAACAAGAGCACGTTTCCAAAGCTGTCTGCCAAAAACTAGCAAACAAAGCCGCCTCAGACCTCGGTGGCACCGGCGGGAGGGACCCTCGCACTGTCCTGCCCAGCCTGGCTCCCCTGTCCCGCCCGGAGAAAACTCTGGGGAGCGAATATTCCAGCTGGGATGCACAAACCGGCTTGGGTCTGCTGACCCTCGGAAGCCGCTCTTAACGAGGGGCTGACCCTCCCCCGAAGCGGGATGAAACCGCCGGACCACTTCTTCCTGCCGCGCCGCCGCAGGGAAAGCGCCTTTCTGGCCGGGTGACTCCCGTGCCAGGAGCGGGGTGGCCGGACACGGGGATTTTACGGGCTCGGGTCGCTTTCCCCGCCGTGCAACCGCGGGACCGCCGGCGGTGCCCGGGCACGGGGGGCGGCCCCGCCGGGGGCTCCGGGGATGCTCCGCGCTCTGCGAGCAGCGGCCGGGGGGAGCGGGGGCCCTGGGCATCTCCGGGGGTGGGTGACACGCGGAAATCCTGAAGGCTGACAGTTTTTAAAAAAGGAAATCAACAACAATAATAATAATAATAGTAAAAATCAAAAAGTCTCTGACCAATAACACAAAGAAGAACATCCTCCCAAATATTTATTTTCCGCTTTTTTTTTTTCTTTTCTGTCATACCTCATTTTTCCCCATCCTCCCACAGAATGTTTGCAAAATAGCATTAAAGATTTATGCGGTCCCTTTGGCTGGAGGGAGGAGGCGTGACCACGTCCTGAAAGTGTCCCGATTACAGCCATGACACCAACATCTGTGCTGGGAGGCGAGAAAAGCATCTCTCTCCTAGCCTGAGGCTCAACTGCGGGATCGCTATCCACAGAGGGGAGGCAGGTGGCAAAATGACAGGGGTGGGGGTGTAAAATCAAGCCCTTTCCAGCAGGAATCAAATTAAAAATAAAATAAAATAAAATAAAATAATTTTAAAAATTAAAGTCGTGCAATCCTTCTTTTCTTTCTATGACAAGAGGGGAGAGCTAGGAGGGGGGAGGAGGATAGGGTTGCATTTTCTTAAGGAAAAAGATGCTATTTAGTTGTCTCTATAAATTTGCATCTTATCTCAGCATTTATCTGTACGCGACAGTCGTGGCGCAAGTTCGGTCACAGTTTCTCCCTCCGTCCCTAGCGCACCCCCCGCCCACAGACACCTCGAAGTTCAGCTCTTGTACTTACACATCTCTGTGCCACAACACTCACCCTCTAGCTGCGGGGGGCAGTGGAAGTAGAACATGGCCCTGTGGTTCGGTGCGTGCCCGCTGCTGGCGGCTGCGAGCCCGACGGCGGCCGGGACCGGGGCCGGGACCGGGGCCGGGGCCGGGACCGGGACCGGGGCCAGCCCGCGGGGATACCGCGCACCCCCCGCACCGACGGACCGGCACCAGCTCCCCACTCGGGCACCGCGACACACCGCCCAGGTACCTCCTGCAGACCTGAAGACATAGAGGGAAAGAACAGAATAGGTGAAGAGCCAGAAGAAAACACCTGAAGAAACTCACTGATAACCCTAAAGCCCATCCCAGAGGAAGAAGAGAAAGTAGTGTCTAACCCTGTGCAACGAATTAAAAAAGCCAAAGGTAGAAAACTCTGTGGTTGGTGTACAGTAATCAGAATCAGCCAAACTTTGTTATTTTGGGGTTTTTTTTTCTGCCCGGAATAGCAGATTGTGTCTCTCTGTGCCTCTCTGTGTTCTCCTATCTATCCATGCAGCAATGTCTCTATCTATCTATCTATCTATCTATCTATCTATCTATCTATCTATCTATCTATCTCAAATATTCCTTTATGGAGCAAATAATTACATAAAGGAAAAAAAATGCTTGTAGGTAAGATTGAACTGTTTAAAAGAAAATTAATTTAAATTATTCTGTCTAAATGAAACAGCAATAAAACCTAAAAGCTTCCTTCTTTTTAAAGCATCCAACACACTGGGAGCCAATGTCCTCGGCAAGGAAAAAAACCCCAAACAAGACTTCAAATTTATATGCAGTCATACTAAAAACAAACAAACAGACAAAAAAAAATCCAGAAGGTACATTAATATAGCAATCCATACCTAAACCGAACAGAAGTAAAAATCACCGGTAAGGTTTGGGGTGTTTTGCTTTAGAATAAGGCGCTGTGAGTTGTTGGCTGCAGAGACAGAAGGGCTCTGTGGAGTTCTGGAAGTGGCCAGATGTCTTTATATCTGTCTACAGCATGCTCTGCCTCTCAGCACTTGCCTTTATAATCTCACGCATAATTGGCCTTAATCTGATTATTTCCAGCGCTGTCTACAGTGAGTAACTTGGATAGGTCTATTGGGCCCTACAAATGGCCCACGTGGTGTGCAGAGCAGGGGGGGGTGGAGAGGATGAAAAGAAAAAAAACGTAATTTCTCAGCAAACGCCAGGAATGTGAACGGCAGCAGCACATTCCCATTATTTTCCGAGCGCTGGCGCTCCGGGGCTCGCAGCCCCCCGCGTGTCCCCCCCGGGCCGGGGTGCCCCGCCGCACCGAGCGCTGCCCCGCCGCCCGCACCCCGGCGCTGCCGTAATTGCCGCCGGATGGGTTTTGGGGGGCCGCTCTGCACACGCCTCGCCTTTCCAAGCGATCGTACCACGGCAAAGTTTGATTTTGTTCGCAGCGAGGGGTCTCTGGATTTATGCTCGCTTCCCGTCTGCAAATGATATGCGGCGGGACCCTTCGCAATTACTTTTAAAATGCATCCGAGACATAGGCTCAGCGGAGAGAGATGGCCCTTGCCTCAGCCCGGGTGAAAATTAGACTTTAAAGTACCCAGATGAAATTTTCAAGTCAGGGACGCGGGATTGGATCAAATCACATAAACTGCAAAAAAAGCAAGTATAATGGCGCATAATTGGTTCTGTAATAGCATTACACAAGGATAATAGCCTGTTATGGCCCCCTGCACATTAAGTGCTTCCCTGGCGTAAAGCCTTTATGATATTAAAGGGGGAATATAATGATATTTTGGTTATTAAATGCGTGTAATTAATTTATGCACCACTGAAAATAAAGTTGGTATTATGACCCACTCAAGATGCATCAGAAGATGTAAGTCAGACAACTGTTGATAAGTTCTGGTGTCTATGTTTCGTCTAGACTGCTGATTTTATTTTGGAACAATTGCTTCTCCGGCAGACTACACAAATTTAATATTTTATAAAGATTGTAATGTTCTGTGCAGGAAGGGCGAGCAAATCTACACAGGCTCTCTTAGATCTGATGGGAGTTTAAAGACAGCACATTCATACCAGAGCAAAGGAGATGGATACAGGCTATACAGGTGCAGAAATAGTGATTTTGAAACGATGATGTCTTTGGAAAGTTGATTCTGTACATATGATCTCATTAAATAAACACTAATAAGCCTTAGAAATATCACCTGCTCTGTCTTTTGCATTAGGCATAGATGTGGAAATTCCCCTAATGTATATTCAAGTTGAAGTTATGTTTCCATCCTGTGAAGCATTATTTTAGCAATGCAAGGCAAAAATTAATTTGACTTGAGATACAAATTGATTTGATCTGATCCTATCTTATCTATTCCCTTATAATTTTAGCATAGTAGTAACAGATGTAGAAGGCTGTCCTAATGTGTTTTATATATGTTTACATGTCTACAGACACACTTTTAGGAATATCTTTGTTTGACAGCAGGTATTTGCTCACCATCCAGGCAAGTCTCTGAGCAGTAAAGTATACGGTGGATTGAGATGGCTTTTACAGCACCATGCAAGATCAAAGACCAGTGCTCTGAATCTGATTACACTCGATAAAATAGCAGCACAAGCTTTTGGTCAAGTAACCTTAAAAAGAACGCCATAACTCAGAGGTGCTGCCTGGATCTCCCCTGCCAGTCTCTCCCTCCTGAGCTTTAAAATCCACACAGGGCCAGTACCGCAGGATCCCTTTGCACAGAGACAGATGTGCGTTTTCCTTTTTCTCTGACGTCGGGAAGAGATGAGTAAGGTAGTGTTTTATCATAAGAACCCCTAATAAAATAATAATAACTTCATTATGGCGCTCTCAGGCCTTGCTCTATGGAGGGGGCTGCATTGCTGTTTTGGCTCCAAGACTCACTTTCCCCAGCAGTTTGAAGCCTGCAAGTTCAGCGTATTACAGGAGGGGGAGAAGGCGGAATGGAGAGCGGGGAAGTGCTCCAAGTCGCTGCTTTTTAAATAGAAGCAGAAGAACGCTGAGCCGGTCGAGACTCAACTTTCTCCCAAGGACCAGCAGCTGCAAAACAAGGAGATAACTAAGCAATATATAATCCCCCACCTCTCGCCAGCTCTGTGTCTGTTTAATTTTAATGCTCGAAACGCGGGGCTAACATAATTAAAAGTTAGCGCTGGGGCGTCCTGGGCGCCGCTCTCGGGCGGACGGAGCCCCGAGGCGGCGGCGCTTCAGCACCACGGAGAGCTCCCGGAGCTCCGCGTCCGGAGCTTCCCGCATGGAGCTCCGCGCCCCGGCCCCGCTCCGTGCCCGGCCCCGCTCCGTGCCCGGCCCCGCTCCGTGCCCGGCCCCGCTCCGTGCCCGGCCCCGCTCCGCGCCCGGAGCTCTGCTCATGAAGCTCCCAGCCCAGCCCTGCTCCGCGCCCCGGCCCCGCTCCGCGCCCCGGCCCTCCCCAGGGAAAGGCTGCAGGCAGAGCTCTTCCTGCGTCCCTCCGTGTCCCTCTGCTGCAGACGCTTTCCTGCTAATCTGGGACCATAGAGGAAAAAATATGCAGTAAGTTGTTTGGGATCATGTCTAGTATTTCTCTGGTAGTTCCTCTGATCCAGCTACTAAAGGCAAGCACTAAAACCAAGAATGAAATAACATACAGAGCTACAATATTTCAGGAAAAAATTACCTTTTTATGAAAAGTCCTTAAAGTCTCCTTCATAAACCTAATTTTATTACTGTTATTATTACTGTTGTTATTACTATGACTATTGTGACATCAATATTAGTTACTAGGTCTGCAAGAAAATGTCCAGGTAGGTATAATTCTGGATAGACACTTTGCTGATGGTGTCTGTCTTAGAACAGAACAGTTCCTGTGCTGCACACACAAACAGACCTCATCTTTCACCCATGAAAACAAAACGTAGGGCTGAACTGCTGAGCAAAGTCACTGAGTGAATGTTTTCCTTGGAAGCACTGAGCTTTGAGGGGATCATTCGTGGAACTCAGGGAACAGCTCAGTTTGATGAAATGGCTCTCTTGCCTCTCCATGTCCAAATGTTTCCTTTCCCGTGATCCTCAATACCTGACCACAGAAAAAGGCTATGAGCTAAAAGGTTATTTTACCCTAATTCATGTGTAGTAAAATGTATTTTCCAATTAACCAAATTTGCCGATTTGTCCCGCTTGGACACTCTTATAATTTATAATGTAAAAGTGTTCTTTCTTTATCTAAAGACCAAGGTGACTGCTTTTAATTTTCTGTAACCTCTTTACACTTGATGTTCACCAGACTCATAATGTTAATTGGCTTCATATACGGATCATCAGTTTAATGAAGGAATAAATCCTATGTTGCTTTATGTCCCTCTGTTTTAACAATGATTGCTTTAATGAAGAATGTGACGTGTTTGAAATCGAAGCTGCAGGAGACATTAGAGGGTTTTTTTTTATGATGACTGAAATGCTTATTTAAAGCTAAAACCATGAGGTTTTCATATTTTAAGAGCTTTTCTTGAAATAATTTTCCATGAAAAATACTGAGACATTCTTCACCAGAGAACTCTTTCTTTGCAATTATGGGCAGAGACTGAGAATAGCTCAGTCCTGTAATATAAACACTCCAATTAGGTTATGAAATTATCTCTAAGCTGATTTTATATCACTGCAGTTTCCATTCAGAGTTTAAGTAAAACTCCCAGTGAGTTATAAGTAGTTATGCCTACCTAAATAAGGAGTATTTGGGGGTAACTAATAAACCTCTTTGTCAAACTACTGTATTTTCACTGTTCATGGGTAGATGAAGAAATTTACAGGAGAGAAAGAATTGTCAGTTCATGCACAAAAGCTCTAGATTGCTGCAGTCTATTTTTCCCCATGGGGATTTTAGGATTTCAGGAGCAAGGGTAAAATGTAATGAAACATGGGCTCACAGAGGTAAGGTGACTGCAAATCAGAGCCTCAATTAGGTCAAGCTGGAAAGCAGCAATTAGACCCAACTGCATGTGCTGGTTACAGTAGCTACAACAGGTTTAAAATGTACAAAGCAAATGCATTCTGGTAATT